TGCATCACTGAGCTCAGACTTCGGCTCTCTGAGCCTGCAAGGATTTCTGGTCATTAGCAGAGAGGCCGAGACTTTAAAATCACCTTGGTGATTCTGAAACCAAATCCCTGGTAGCATCGCTGCCCCGGGAGGCTTTGGAAATGTCAATCCAGGTGCATTTCCGCTTCTCTTATACCCCAGATTTGCACCTTGCCTTCTCTTCCACTGTTCGTCCCTGCATGTCTCTTGCCACGCTTAGTTTCGTGGCCTGGTCTCCATCTCGTATATTTCACATGCCTTTTCTTGTCCTGCTGGCTGAACATTTTTCTGTGTTGAGAAGAACCCCCTGAAAGAGAGGTGTTTGGAGATATGTTTAGAGCGAAAATGCACGTTGCCGGGTAGCAGCAGCTGCTTTAAGTCTTTGGGGCAAGCGAGCAGGAAACATAGTGCGGGGGACACGCCATTTGCGTGGAGAATCTCTGGGAGTTGGCACGCCTCTGGTGTCCAGAAGGCCAGTCCTGGCATGAAGTGCAGAGAAGCATCTCGGGGGTTCTGTTCTGGCCTCTCCTGCCGTGCGCTAGCTAGAGGATATGGAAGAGAAACCTGTCTTTGCAAAACTGTTCTGAAGATCTGCAGCCCCCGTCACTCTGCTACGAAGAGCGTGTAGCTAGAGGATATGGAAGAGAAACCTGTTTTTGTAAAACTGTTCTGAAGACCTGCAGCCCCCGTCACTCCGCTACGAAGAGCGTGCGCTCTGTGCGCTTCTGCTGAGAGATCCATGCTTTGTTCACCTAAGTAGCTTGTCTCGTTTTCTGATTCGTTGCTGGCACACTCAGCAAAGGAAATAAGTGGAGGAAATTGTTCCAAGAAGGTGGATTTCTCCCGGGGTAGGGGGTAGATTGCAGGGTAAGTCGACAGCAGTGGCGTTTGAGAGCACATGTGTCATACTCTGCGTTCCCTGTAAGCTGTGCGATTGTGCAGCCGCTCAGGAGAGATTTGAATGCCACCTGGCTGATTAGCAGCGTGCCCACAGCGAGGTGTTTTGTTTCTGTTAGTGGTACACATACGCACCTGCCTCAGTGCACAGAAAATATGAATTCCACACATGGCCAGAAAAAATCCTCACATGGATGGAAAAGATTACAGGGAACATTGGTCACGACTGGTTTATAGAGTTGCTCTTTTCACTGTACAATCGGGCATCCAGTCTCAAGTAGGGGGAGCCAATCTTAGGCCTTGTCTACTCTTACCAGGAGATTGGCTCTGTGGGGATCCATCTCTCAGGGGTCAATTTAGCAGGTCTAGTAAAGGCCTGCTAAATCAACTGCTGATTGCATTCCCATCGACTCCAGTACCACTCTTAACTGAAAGAGTAAGGAGAGTCGATGGGAGAGTTTCTCCCATTGACCCTCTGCCATGGGGACACTGTGGTAATTTGAACTAAGGTGCATCAACTCCATACATTATTCACATAGCTGGAGTTGCATCCCCTCGTCCAACATTTCCCTAGCGTAGACCTGGGCTGAGGGCAGGATACCTCAATACTGTGAGAGAGCATGTGTTGTGCTATACGGGACGGGCTTTCCCCCTGAAGCGTTCCAGGTTTTTTTCTTAACGTCCCAATGTTTGGACTCCTCTGTGCACCCTCTGGAGGTGCCTGAGCCGGCCAGAGCTGCTGACTGGGGCCGGCTCTGGGCTGTATGGGGAGGGGGACACGTTTCTCTGCTGGCCCTGGTCCATGCTGGCAGGGAGGTTGCACGGAAGACCATGTGTCGGGATTGGCCGTGGTCCACACGGGATGAGCTGCGTGGAGGGGGGCTCGTGCTGGGTCTGGCTGTTGTCGGACGTCCGTCAGGGCTGGCTCTCGTGTGTGTGTGTACGTGTGCGGGGGGGCTGTGTGAAAGGACGCACGCCAGGGCCGGCTCTCGTTAACGAGTGTTTTTTCGTTTGTCGGTTCAGAACTCGCCCTTGCCCTCAGCTGCTGCCTGACCCGATCGTGCTCACCCGCCACCCTCCCCCTGGGAGCCCAGTTGCCTCAGTGGCACAGCCCTTTCTTCTCCTGCCCACGTTCTTTTCCCAGCATCTCTGGGAGGGGGCAGCTTTGCCTTCCAAGTCCAGCCCTCCCCCATGACCGCATGGCCCCGTCCGGCCACAGAGCGTTGTTAGCATGACAGGGCAGGGAGGTATTTTTAGGAGAAATCCTTTGTGGTTCCATGGCAAAGTCACATCACAGGCCTCGCGTCACTTTGCAAACACCAATTAGTCTTCCCAGCCCCTCTGGGGGCAGGGTCGGTATTGTTATCCTCCCCAGCGGGGAAACGGGGAGGCAGGGAGTGACTCACTGACAGCCTGGGAAAGGATCAGTGGCAAAGCCAAAGGCAGAAGCCAGGAGGCTTGGTCCTCAACCCCCACCCCTCTCGCCCCCTTTTTTAAGAATAGCGTGTCACTCCCTGCAAGGAAATTCTCTTTCTCTCTCTCAAACTCGGGGTGGGGAGGGGCCGCTGCCCCACACACAGATCAGTCGGGGGCCACACACAAGTGGGAAGCAAAACACAAAACCCCAGACCCTCACTACGTGGGCCCCCACTGAGGAGGAGAAAGACCCTCCCCACATTTCCCTCACGCACCAGAGCCGGGTGGGGGGAGCCCCGAGCCTCGGGCCAGATCGAGACAAGTCTTCGGTTCCCTGCCCCCGTTCTAACTGAATAAATTCTCGGGGCGTGAAAACAGGACAAATTCACAGCTGCTTACTTGGACCCTAATTCTGAGGGTCCCGAGCGCCCACGACCCCCTTTGCTGTCAGTGGGAACAATGGGACGCTCGGGATTAACTCTGGAGAGGTAATTCAGAAAGACTGCCAGGTTTACAAAAGCTGCGTTTGTTCTGGAGCTGAAGGGCCTCGTCTGGAGAGGCAGTGCGGTCCAGTGGTTAAGACGTTGGCTGGACAGCCAGGAGAACTACGTTCTGCTCCCAGCTGTGCTACTGTCCTGCTCTGGGACATGCGCAAGCTGCTACATTGCTTGGTGCCTCGTTTTCCCTCTCTGTAAAATGGCTGGTTCTTTGGTTCTTTCCCAACGGTGCTGCTGTTGAAACCTGCTTGCAAATGTGGTTTGGACGTCCCGTCTACTGAATATCAGTGCATGGGCATGAAGGTAGGAGGTTACGGCTTTTGCAATGGGAGAAAACAAAATGCAAACGGAAACGATGTATGAAAAGCAGCTGGAAGGAGCAGCAAGTGACCCTTTAATGTTGAGTGTTTGAAACGCTTCAGTGTCCTCTAAATGCACAGTGTCAGTGGGGGAGATATCCGAATGCGTGTGCTTAGCTCTCCTCTGGCAGAACTGATGTCAGTCTATTTATAAGCTCCAGTGTGTGCGGTGGATGGGTGGGTGGGCGAGGAGGAGGAGGAGGAAGAGTTAAATAGTCTCCAAGCTGGAGAGCCGATTGAAGATCATCTGATAACATTAGGTTGGTGGCATCCGCTGGAAGAAAGCCGACCTATTTAACGGAGTCCACACCTCCCTCCCCACACGCGGGCAGAGCACAGTCACCTGAGGACAGGGGCTCTGAAAACGCGACTGTCGCTTTAAACCGAAGCCCGGCTCGGAGCGGGTCGTTGGCGCTGTCTACATTTTTCACATGGCTGAGCGCTCCACATAAATCTTTGCTCCGGCAGCCTGCAAGGGGAGGTAGCTGGGGAGAGCTCTCTGGGGCTGCTTGCAGTAGCTAACGGGCATCAAAGCGGCAGCTTCTGTCCACAAGTGCTTCCTCTACGGGGGGCGATTGCTCGGGCGCTTCCAGATGTGACCGCAGCTGCTTTGGTGGGAATTTGTTGCTGGGCTCAGTAAGTAGCACTGTGTATTTCTGTTCGTGGTCCTGCGTGTCCTCGGGAGGCACTGAGGGGCGAGGAGAAGTTTGTTGTATGTGTAGAGGGGGGAATGTTGGGGTTTGGAAATTGTTTTTCAGAATCAGAGTCTTTGAAGTTGGCAAAAGCCCCTTTGGTTTGAACTTAATTGTACCCCAGCTGCGTGTGGCTTTCATTTATTCTCCCTCCCCTCCCCTCCCCGCTGCCAAGCCTCAAGAGAAGCCCGGGTCAACGGCAGCGTGGGGATTTTGGTGCCTGGGTGCGGACGCTGGGTGCGTTTCGGAGGCGGTGTGGGGTGTCCGTGCACAGAGGGGGAGGAAGCTGAGCGGTCGTCGCTGGGGGTTACTGGGGGTGATACGGAAAGCCCCTGAAAAGGCTTCACATAAGCGACGGCACGTGGAAGAGCCCCTTTGAATGTGTAGCCCGGGTCAACGGCAGCGTGGGGATTTTGGTGCCTGGGTGCGGACGCTGGGTGCGTTTCGGAGGCGGTGTGGGGTGTCCGTGCACAGAGGGGGAGGAAGCTGAGCGGTCGTCGCTGGGGGTTACTGGGGGTGATACGGAAAGCCCCTGAAAAGGCTTCACATAAGCGACGGCACGTGGAAGAGCCCCTTTGAATGTGTGTAAATGGCCACG